GTTGATATTCACTGATAGTTCCGCTTCCGCTGTTGACAGTATTAGGCACAATGTAGGTGGCGGTCGATGAGTTGTCTTCCTGTGTTGTCTGGTCCTAGGTTTAGCATTCATATCTCCCATTAATATTTTAATGTCACCGACTGGAGTATTGTCCATTTTTGCCTGTATTATTATTTGTATTATTATTGTATCCATTAGTTCCTAGAGGAACATACGGCTACAGCTGCGCACCTCCATTGCCTTCGGTTTTCTGACAACTTTTTCACCCCGCTCCAGGTCTGTCCACATGCTTTCATCTCCTCCTCGCATGACCTCCTCCAAGTCACCCTTGGACGACCAACTCGCCGCCTCCCTTTCGGGTTCCACTCGAGCGATGGCTTGTCTAGTGATGTCACTTGATGGTTTCCTCAGCGTATGGCCAATCCATCTCCATTTCTTTCTGCCTATTTGTTTCACAATCGGTTCCTGGTTGGTTGGTCCTCCCAGAGATCCCTGTTGGTGATCCTTTTGGCCATCTGATCTTGAGTATTGAGCGAAGACAGCTGTTAATGAAGGTCTGAAGTTTGTTTGAGATGCTCTTTATGACGCCCTGGCCAAGTCTCTGATCCGTATAGTAGCACTGACTTTACATTGGAGTTGAAAATCCGGATCTTATTTTTGATGCTGAGTGCTGTTGACCTCCACACAGATTTGAGAGTAATGAAAGCTTGTCTTGCTTTTCCGATTCTGGCTTTGATATCCTCGTCAGTTCCGCCTGTAGTTGAGACGATACTTTCCAGGAAGGTGGGGTGAAGGAGGTTGTTTCTTTCAGGTTCCTCCCATTTATGGTGGCTGATTGTTGTCTGTTGTTGTTGCTGTTGATGTTGGCTAGAAATCTTTATCACCTCTGTTTTATCTACGTTCACTTGAAGTCCTATCTTCTGTGGATTCTTCTTCTGCCAGCTTGTTGCTTTTCACTTGCATATCTTCCAGTTTGTGGAAAATCAGGTATACATATGTCATCGGCGAAGTCCAGATCCTCCAAGTTCGATTTATGTGTGGGTCCATTTTATGCCTGTCCCTTCATTGCCCGCCACTGTCTGTCTCATCGTCCAATCTACTGCAATCAGGAAGATCATTGGCGATAGTAGACAGCCAGCTTGTCTCACTCCCGTCCTCACTTCGAAGGCTTCCATAAGTTTCCCGTTGTGGAATACTTGCCATGCAGAATTGTCGTATAACTGTTGGATGAGATGTTTAATTGTCGATGGCACCCGTAGTAGCAAAGTATTTTCCAAATCACCTCTCGATCGACGCTGTCTGCTGAAAGCCTATTCAAAGTCGATGAAGTTGAGTGAGGTAGAGAGGTGACTGCCATTCCAAGCTTTATTCAATGATGATCCGTAGTGGGGCGATTTGATCAATACATGATTTGTTTCTCCTGAATCCGGCCTGTTCCGGACGAAGTTTTTCACCTAGGGCTTGTTTGATTCTCTCCAGAATGATGCGACTTAGTATCTTGCTTGGAATGGACAGAAGCATAATTCCACGCTAGTTTTTTTGCCTGTAGAACTCTTCTTCTTTCTTTTCGAGGTCTGCGTTGTTTGTCGATGCAGAACATTGTATAACTGACACTTTTTTTCATTTGAAGTTGAAGGAACAGAATCTATGAGTTTATTCTGTCTGAGTATGTTTTGATATTATTTCTATTAATTTTATCCAATATGGATGAATATTTTGTTTCCAATGTTGTACACGCTAAAAAAATTTTTTTTCCTTTTTTCTGAAATTTGTTTCCCCCCGCCCCTTTTTTTAACTGTGAAATTGTTGGAATTAACAGAACCAACCAATCAGTGAAGTTCACTTTCCGTAGATATATAAAATAAACAGAAACCATGCAGTATCGATTACTGTTAGACACGAATCGAAACAAAAAAATCAATACACCCTTCTGCTGATATTAGACAATTGAAGGTAATTGCGAGGAAGCTTTGCATCACGTATGTTCTAAGCATTTTGGCGCATATTAGCCAGTAAAGTGAATCTACAGTTACCTTGAAAGAACTGATATCCCCCATTTGAGAATAAAGGCTGCATCACCCAGCACCATCAGGAGAAAGAGATGGTATCACGGAGTAAATTCAGCCTGTCAATTGACCGCCTATAAGACTGTATTGGATTATTTAATAATAATAAATAATAATTTTTCCTTCACGTTCTCAGTGGAACATAGGGCTTTAAGCTTCTGGCTTGAAGTTTCTGTAGCAGTGGTGTTTATGTCTACAGGATGGGGTTGCTAGCCTGCCTCATGCCCAACCTTTCCTCTTTACCAGCATTATTTCTGGCTTAGCAAGATAAAGGAGTCCGTCTGTGGCCGGGGATCGAACCCCGGACCATGTGCAAGGTCAGCGAGCGTCCTAACCGCTGTGCCACCGACGCTTAATAATAACAATAATCTACTTTATTCCAAAAACAGTCCTTATAATACAGAATGAAATTCAGAGCATTTGTCACAATATCTCCCATGTGATTTACTCAAAATATAAATAAAATTAAAACAAAATTAATCAGAGGAATTTGTCTACATTGACGATATAAAGTCAAAAATATTCGAAGTACGAATTGAGATTATTAAATATAATAATAACAACAGTGAGTTTTTTTTAAACAGTATTGTCGATTCAGTATGGAAATTTTAGCGTGTTACTATAGAGTATTGAATCTAATGTTCTGTTCATGTAGTATAGTGAGGGGAAATACAAAATCAACAGTTCTAACACAGCTTAAATAATGTTCACACTTATGAAAAAATAAACAAATAAAAACAAAAAAAAAAACTGAGAGTATTATAAATATAAGAAGTACAATAACAATAAAGGTTAGTGTTGTAAGGGTGGAGGACATGGTTTAATTAGTAATCCAAAGAAGGTTAGTTAGTTAGTTCATGTCTGACACTAATTTCATCATATAAAATACGTGCCAAATATGGTATAGTGGATTTTTTATACTTAGATGTACGTGCATAAAGTCTTCTTGTTTTACCTGAGGAGACACAAGGTTGGAGCTGCGGGTAGAGTGCATGCTCACAGTTTGACAAAATTCTTTTAGCAAAAAATTTGTTGCATGACATCAAGTGCCTATCAATGACAATGTCAACGATGTGTCAACGATGGGATATCACTCGACCTACTGACAGTCTTCAGAGTTCTACAAAGTGTGACATAGTCTTTTTTAAGCAATTCAGGAAAGAATAAGTAAGGGTGAACAGTAAAGAAGAATAGGTAAGATGCATGAATTGACAAACTGTTAGAGTAGGGATTCGTTTAGTTATGCCTGATTGCCTTAACTTCTTAGTATTTTTTTCTTTTAGAAATCGCCTTGACATGGAAGATCAAGTGGTCTGCTTAAACCTTGGACTGCCAAGACCGCACACCTATATCAAAAACCTTTAACACACACACACACACACATAATGGCGTATAGTCCAGACACACAGAAAACGTTTACTGCATAACTATTTTAATTAATACCGTAAAACATCTATGAAAACATCAAAAGTTTGAACAGTTCGACTGTCCAAAATTGTTTTCAGCATTTTACAACTTACCAGTAGCCAGACCGTAAAGAATACCACCGAAATATAATAATTGTCGTCGAAATTTTAAAGTCCAAATTTGTAGTGTATGATGAGATGATGGTGATGATGATGATGATGATGACGATGACAATGCAGCTGATGGAATCGTTCTGATGGTGATGTTTGTACAATACCATGAATAGCTAATGGAAAGGCAATGACTGATAGTCCACACAGGATTAAAGCAACATTATTTAAAAGCATAGGATCTACTAATCTAGGACACTGACGTAGTAATTTTCGATTTGTATTCAATCCTTTTTCAATATACAATCCTATAAAAATAAACAATAATTACCAAAGAAAGAAAATAATACAAGATTGGATAACAATAACAAAACATTATTTCACATAAAATGCATTTTCAACACACAAATGTCAGGTGAGTGGGGGAGTCCTTCTCTATGGGTTAGAAACATGACCAGCGTGTCACGAAAAGGAGTTTCAACAGGTCACTGCAGACTTTCATCAACAGCTGCCTCCTTTTCTGGCTCCTTATCGAAGATCACTGTGCGTCAGTGGCACAGTGGTTAGGACTCTCGCCGACCATGCACATTGTCCGAGGTTCGATCCCCTGCCGACGCACACCTGATATCTATGGTTGGCCTGCAAAATTTTGGCTACCGATATCACATGCTGAAAATTCCATACTTGTACCACAGATACGGTGTGGAATCAAGCTGTAGTCAAAAATATAAAAAAATTTAAAAAATCGCAGGCCAGAAACAGTTAGTAAGAAGATACTCTGTAGTAGAACAAGCCAATCAAAAGCCGATTGCTCTCTCTCTCTCTCTCTCTCTCTCTATATATATATATATATATATATATATATATAAGCGCAGGAGAAAATGGAGACGGATCGGGCATACACTGAGGAGGATGTCGAATGACATCGCGCGCCAGGCTATCGCCCGAATAGAATCTCAATGAGAAGCGACGAATGTGTAACCGGTGCGAGGGTGATATGGAGGAGATGACAGACTGTAGGCAATCATGACCCAAGCTGAAGAGGACAGCAGAAGACAGAGGCAAATGGAGACATGCAGTTGAAGCTCTATGTTCCACTTGGAACCCAAGGGAACAATAATTATATTATTATTATTATTGCTCCCTTCAGTTCCAAGTGGAACATAGGGCTTCAACTGCATGTCTCCATTTGCCTCTGTCTTCTGCTGTATTTTTCACCTGCATCCATCCTCCATATTTGTTGGGCGATTGGTTCTTGTTTTGTTTGTCCCCAGCCATAATTTCTTGTTGGTGATTGTTTCTGGCCCGGCCATCTGATCTCCGGTATAAAGCGAAGACAGTTAGTTGCTGATAAAAGTCTGCAATAGCCAGCCTGTTGGAAATATTCTTTGTGACCCGCCCGCCCGCCAAGTTTCTCATCCGTATAGAAGAACTGACTGACTTTACGTTTGTATTGAAAATCCGACCGAATTTTGTTGTTAATGCTGGCTGAGTGACGATGATTTCCAGATTGATTTCAGGTTCATGAATGTGTTTCTCGCTCGCCTTCCCGATTCTCGCTCGATTTAACATCCTCGTCCGTTCCGACTGTCTGTAGTTGAGACAATGCTCCCTAGATAAGTGAATGAAGTAACCTCTTTCAAATCCCTCTCGTTGATGGTGATTGACGCTGGATTTTGCTGCTGTTGTTGTTGGTTGGTCATTTTCATCACCTCTGTCTTGTCTATGTTCACCTGGAGTCCTGTCTTCCCTGTCTGCTTCTTCGACCAGTTTATCGGTTTTCGCTTGTAAGTCTTCGATTTTGTGTGACATCAAGCCTAAATCATCCGCGAAATCCAAGTCTTCTAGGTTCTTCGCGTCGGTCCAGGATAATAATATTAATAATTTCATATAAAAAATCAATTCATTTATATTTTGCGAAGACAATACACGATATACTACTTTGATATTACCAGATACAATATAAAGTAGGAAAGAGAGGGATGTATAGGACACGCACTGAGAGGGTGGATATAACAAACCCACAATCAGAGTGCTGAATATGGCGTAGGTGTCTACAGGTGACATCGTGGAAATGGTATCAAGGGGAAATGAAGTTTTATGAACATTGGTGTAAGAATAGAACTTGGGCACTGTGGTAGAATATAACTCCATTTTGATGTAAAACTCTTTGCAAAAATGTGCACCAATTCGAGTTTCCGTACTCCACGTAGCACCCAAAACAAGAGAAGAAAGTAAAGAGGGATAATTAAAAGAAATTTGAGTCGAGAATAATGATAACAATATGGAAGAACCATATAGCTTTTATAGGATATTATAAGTGACAAGGAGTGGATGCATCTACGACAGCAATTGACAATGATTTTGAGCCATATTACCAATTCTCTGTCTCCAGCCGGCATTAGTTCTTGAAATCCTAAAGCCTTCATATCGGGGAGCCAGTCTACACCTACCTTCGTTGCTGTCTGGTTGGCATAAAGTAACTGACACGGATTACATTGACTGATGAAGCCATATTTTGTTTGGACCATCACATGCTGACTCTTTTCCAAACTGATCCATCCAATATCAGTCAGCTAAGATAACCCGTCGAGTAAGGCGATGGTTGGGCATGCATGAGTGACACATGTCCTAACCATCTCAGTCTGTGCAACTTCACAGCCTATTGTCTATTGATTTCCCCTCCCACCTAATTGGCATTCGACGCCGAGGCTTCAATATAACTCACCTTATTACACCTACCATCTAACACAGGAGACAGAACGCAGATGATCTGACATTCAAGAAACAGCTAAAAACAGATATGAAAGATTAACTTTCAGTGAGAAAAACAACCACCAATCAGAAGACAGTGTTTTTCTGCTAACAATAACCTATAATAATGTACAAAGAAAATCTATAAATATGTGTTGATTTCCTTAATAAACGATCTGTTGCCTGACTCTTGTCTTCGGTTGTTACACTAGTATAGTTGAGTATTTGATCTATGTGTGTGTTTTGTTTCCCATATGCTCGCGTGGAATGATTGCGCCGAAGTGCTCAGTTTCAGGTGGGAACACCTTTACTCACTGCGGAATGCAGGTACATCTAGCTGACGAGTCCCAAATAGGATGAAATGCACATCCGGGATTTCAACATTGCTAGTCACCATCCACCAATTATCTTCTTATTACATGCCCATACATCGTCAAAGCATATGAACAAGAAGCCGGCATGTCACATGTCAACCTGAGACCGAGCACTTCGGTCCAATCAATCGACGGGAAAATCTAAAATTGAATTATATATGTACAGTTTATATTCGTTAACAAATCACCGAGTGTGTGATTTTGGCTTACACCAAAACGTGCGTCGGTGGCACAGTGGTTAGGACTCTCGCCGACCATGCACATGGTCCGGGGTTCGAGACCACGCCGGCGCACACCTGATATCTATGGTCGGCCTGCAAAATTTGGGCTACCGATATCCATGCTGAAAATTCCATACTTGTATCAAAAATACAGTGTGGAATCAAGCTGTAAATCAAAAATAAAAATAAAATAAAGATATGGAATAGAATGTTCAAATACATGTTATTCTGTCGATAACACAGTATTGAACTGTGGGAATAATATTCCGTTGGAACACATTGTCTATATCACACCACCACACTCGTCTTCAAAAAATCAAAAACTTTCCCCTGAATTCGGCTTGACCTTCTTGGTAGTAGCAGCTTTGTTTGCTTGTTTCGCTGTATCGAGTTTCGAAGCTCGCTAACGTTCACCTGCTTTTGTGCTTTGCATTTCTGATAGTATATACGTGACCCTGTCTCACGATGACCATGTCTTGTCCTTCCCACTTTGGAAGCAGTCTGCATGCCAGTGACTTGTGTTCACCGGTGTTTCGCCTCACACTATTACATGCTGCCGTCGCTCGACCTCTGAGCAGCCTTCCAAGTTACAGCCTCATGATTGACGGATCTTGAGTGCCGCAACAGCCTCAACGTCCTGCCAGAAGATCCATATGTCTCCTCCTTCAAAAACTGCAGGTCATAGGACTCATATTTCGGCAGGCAGCAGAAGGTAAGACACGGAAGCAGGGAATATTTGTTTTCACAAATCGAAATGCTGTTTATTTATGTACAGTTTATATTCGTTAATCAATCACTGTGCGTGTAATTTTGGCTAGCATTAAACGACATGAAATAGAATGTACAAATATCTATATGTAGTATTCTGTTACTAATGTCGAATTGAGCTGTGGATATTATTTATTTATTATTATTATTCTATCCTTTAATTCCTAGAGGAACATAGAGCTTCAGCTGCGCGTCTCCATTGCCTTCTGTTTTCTGCCAACTTTTTCAACCCGCTCCAAGTCTTTCTACATGCTTTCATCTCCTCTTCACATGACCTTCTCCAAGTCACCCTCTCACAGTCGACTAACTTACCGCTTCCCTTCCGGGTTCCACTCGAGCGATGGCTTGTCTAGTGATGTCACTCACTTAACGGTATCCTCAGAGTATGGCCAGCCAATCCATCTCCATTTCTTCCTGCCTATTTGTTTCACAATCGGTTCCTGCTAGGTTGGTTCGCTCCCAGAGATCCTTGTTGGTGATCTTTCCTGGCCAACCGGCCATCTGATCCTGAGTAGCATTGAGCGAAGACAACTGGTAATGAACGTCTGTAGTTTGTTTGAGATGCTCTTTATGACGCCCTGGCCAAGTCTCTGATCCATCCGTATAGTGAGTAGCACTGACCTTTTCACATTGGAGTTGAAAATCCGGATGTTATTTTTGATGGTGAGTGGTGTTTACCTCCACACAGACTTGAGAGTAATGAAAGCTTGTCTTGCTTTTCCGATTCTGGCTTTGATATCCTCGTCAGTTCCGCCTGTAGTTGAGACGATACTTCCCAGCTAGGTGAAGGAGGTTGTTTCTTCCAGGTTCTTCCTACTTATGCTGATTGTTGTCTGTTGTTGTTGTTGCTGTTGATGTTGGCTAGGAATCTTCATCACCTCTGTTTTATCTACGTCCACCTGAAGGAAGTCCTATCTTCTGTGGATTCTTCTTCTGCCAGCTTGTTGCTTTTCACTTGCATATCTTCCAGTTTGTGGAAAATCAGGTATACATGTGCCATCGGCGAAGTCCAGATCCTCCAAGTTCGATTTATGTGTGGGTCCATTTTATGCCTGTCTCCTCATTGCCCGCCGCTGTCTGTCTCATTGTCCAATCTACTGCAATTAGGAAGATCATTGGCGATAGTAGACAGCCAGCTTGTCTCACTCCCGTCCTCACTTCGAAGGCTTCCATAAGTTTCCCGTTGTGGAATACTTGTCATGCAGAATTGTCGTATAACTGTTGGATGAGATGTTTAATTGTTGATGGCACCCCGTAGTAGCAAAGTATTTTCCAAATCACCTCTCGATCGACGCTGTCTGCTGAAAGCCTATTCAAAGTCGATGAAGTTGAGTGAGGTAGAGAGGTGACTGCCATTCCAAGCTTTGTTCAATGATGATCCGTAGAGTGGCGATTTGATCAAAACATGACTTTTTTCTCCTGAATCCAGCTTGTTCCAGTCGAAGTTTTTCATCCAGGTTGGCTTGTTCGATTCTCTCCAGGATGATTCAGCTTAGTATTTTGCTTGAGATGGACAGGAGCATATTTCCGCGCCAGTTATTGCATTGACTCAAATCTCTTTTCTTTGGTAGTTTGAATAAGCTGTGGATATATTCCAGAATAATATTCCATTGGAATACACATTGTCTGTATCACACCACCACCCCCACCACCACCACACCACTTCATTGAAGTATCAGCCTTGAAATCAGGAGTGATTTTTTCTGTATCAGCTGTCTTCCTTAACTGAGTCAAACCGACTAACACCAATGATCAGTTCAACCACCACGTAACAATCGAAACAACTATCTCGCGTTTCAATAATTTCAGGGGGCTAGGAAGCACTACTACTCGCCAATATGACTGTGATCGACACAACTACTCATCTCAACCAATTAGTAGTATATAGTTATACTCATTTATGGTGACATCTTTATTTCCCCTTAAATATATACATATATACTATATATATATGCAACAGACATGTGAGGCAACGAATAAAATCATTCAACATCATACCCAATTTTTTGATAAATGCTAAAAATCAAACAAAGGAGAATATATTCAGATGCACACACACACACACATACACACTAAAACTAGTCAAGGTCAAATAGGAATTGAAGGTCACTTCTATCAATCAGCCAACCAATCATAATGCTAGCTAGTCACAAGCTGGCCTAATTTTATACCATAATATAATATAAATATAATATCATGCCAGTGATCATAACAATAATAAAAATAAGAATAAAATAAAGTTTTTCTTTCTTCAAATTATTTTTTGCTTGCTAGCTTATTCCCGTCCATTTTTATTTTTGTGAACGCAAGAGAAAGACAAAGAAACAAACGAAACAAGACAAGGGTATTACGTAATAGTACAAATCATCTGCCACATATTATGTAAGGCATATTGAAACGCGTCATAATAAACGACGCGCACATGACGACACAATATTAGATAAATATTATTAATGATAATAATAATAATAAAATTTGGCATAAATTAAAAGACTCATATACAACAACAACAATAACAAACAGAATATGTGAAAATGGAATCATATGAACAAATAGAAAAAAAACAGTAATAAGCATGTATAATACATCTATTTGCATATTTGCATAAATTAGATTAGTTGTCTAACTAGACCGAGGCCTTAAATCACAGTTAAGGGAGAAATTATCAACAGACAAGTTCAACAATGAAATCAAGGAGAGAAAGAAGATTATGACATCAAGGATGATATTATTGGCAGAAAAAGAGAGACAGTATCAATCTTACAAACAGGGTAGAAGTACTTTAGACACTGCTGCTGTGTTTCATCACAATATTGTATCCTCCTTAGACTAACGGGCCAAGTATGTCCGTTGTACGTTCCCTTGATTACACATCTGCTTTCGACTCTGTACCTAGAGGCGTTTTGTTAAACAAGCTTATAGCCTTACACAAACTGAGTCCTGGGCTATCAACTGGCTGAACACTCTTACTTCTCTAATAGGATGCAGTACACGGTTTATAATGGTGTAGCTTCCTCTCCTTTGTTTACTGAAGCTGGAGTTCCACAGGGGGCTGTTCTCTCTCTCCGTTTCTCCTTTCTTTCTTC